GGATCTAATATTGATTGAGATTTCCTCCAAATTTCAGCCCTTCGTCATGCTCCTTTCTTGAGTTATTGTAAATCAAAAAGAAGACCATTTGTCAAAGGAAAAGGTCGAAATAGCACGCATCTTCAACATTGAGTATCTCGAGAAGAGAACATGACAAAGGGCTGAAATTTGGAGGAAATCTCAATCAATATTAGATCCGTCAGTGGGCTGAATTTCAGTGCTATAGCTTCCAGTTTGGACTTTTCATGCATTTCTCAGTATAGGTCGAAAATCCGGTAAAACAGGTATAACTCGAGCTGAACTGCATATGGAGAGGAACTTTTTAAACCCTTTACTACAGTAGTCTCATCGAGTACTACAAAGTGGTGTAAGTCTCTACTCAAACGGAACGTGGCATCTAGGAACTCTCCCTCGTAAGACATGTCTCTCCACTTTTTTGATAGTGATACAAGAGTGTGTGTGTGTGTGATTATTTGAGAAGGTATGGGTCTCATTAATCTTTATTTCTCCTTCGGAGAATACGAGAGAATCATAGATGACTACCGACAGGTAACGACCTCTGGCGAAGCATCGCGCAATGAGAGGACGATTGCAACGCCGAACGATGGCCATCTCGAGCATGTAGCTAGCTCTCAATTTCGAAGAAAGAACTACATCGTGATCGTGCTCTGGCAAGAGATCAGGAATGGCATTCAAATTTGCGATCATCGGATCGACAATGGCCATGGTCGGCTACACCACCTACAAGTACATGGCCAAGCCAAACCCTAGTACGATGAACGGAGTGGCATGTGAAGGCAGGGACTGGCAGATCTGTCTATGTTTCAGCGATCTACATGGAGAAGCCCTTCATCGAAGAAGCGCTGGCGTTGAAGCGCGATTATAAACCGATCACCGAGAAGCTAGTCGAACCCCTGCAGCCGCTGAAAGTGGACATATCGAATCCGTCCAATGTCCTCACCCTGCTGGGAGCTCAAGTTCGCGCGATTCGTTCCTGCCGCTTGTCCCTCTGAGTTCAGCGATGCTTCTAGGTACAGATTCCAGTGCGTGGCGCCGAACGATTCGGAACGATCTACTGCTGCGCTACCCGAGACCCCTGGATGACGAGTAGGCTCTATCCTCTTTCTGGGTTTCTCAGTGAACAGTCTAATCTCTATTCTAGCTGGCATGTAGATAAGCTGGAGTTCAAAGCGAACAACCAACCGAATCGGGATCAGTTCTACGATCGCCGCGTGCCCGAGCATATGTTCCATTCACTTTATTCACTCAACATCTCGCAACAGAACAGTCTTTTTGACTACACACTTTCGCATCGTCTTGCCCAATCAAGAACAAGTACGTCACTGAAAGCGCATTTTCTTACCTCTTCTTGCCCTTGTTTGTTCTTTCAGCTCAACGAACAAAATGTTCGGCCGAACCTACTACAACTGTCCGGTCTGCGGAGACCGCGTCTGGGTCTACTCTTGGTTTCCCCACAGAGGACCGTGTTTAAAACATGCTCCATGAAGAAGCACAACGCCGCTGCCTCATCGAAGTTCTTACATGAACTAATACAGTGATACTTAATCAAGAACGTGTGATCATCTCTTTTTTCAAATTCTCTCTTTTTCCATTCATCTGTGCTTTTCTGTTTGCTTTCAATCATTAAATAACCTTAATATAATGCAATACTAACTGCTGTTGTCGAAATAAAAACAAACAAACTTAATGTAATGTAATGCAATACTTAATTCTTTAAAAAACTGGGCCACGAACTGAGCTCCGTTGTCAGGAACGATCTTAACCGGTACTCCGTGACAACAGATGACTTCGTCATGCAATAATATTGCGATATTTTTCTCTTTTATATCTTATAAACCGGCGTTCTTTTCATTACCATGCTTAAAATGTTGAGAAAGGTCGCACGATCTTACATAGTTCACTACGTCTCATTCTCCCCCAGTGGCAACGGATTGATAGTCTATGTAGAGTTTTTCGGTGACCTGACGCAGGATGATCGTGTGCGACGTTTAGGAGATCTAGACGTTTTGAATGTGGGATGACCAAAAGGTGGGGACTAAAACTATTTTTCAGGGGACATTCTTCGTCGAACTTGCGGACTCTATACAGTTTTCCATCGATGACGTGATGGTTTTTGGCAAGGTATTGGACTTTTTGAAGAAGAATATCATCAGAGGGAGAAACATCATCCTGAATGAAGGAAATTAAGGGGTCATAATCCTTATCCTGTCGTTGTGATACCTTTATATCGTCTAAAATATTACAGCTATCCCAAATATTAACGGCTATCTCTTGATTTTCTTCGATAGGGTCGATTAAAATACTATTTGGTTGAATAGCAGCTACTATCTCGGTCTTAATGGGATAGCGAGAAAGAGTATCTGTATTAATATTTGCTTTCCCTGTTTCCGATGTTTAATGACCATGTCGTACGCATCAAGTTTCATGGCCCATCTTGCGAGACGGCTGGTTGAGTCTCGGATGTTTTTCAACCATGTGAGAGACCTATGGTCGGTCCAAACCTCGAAAGGCCGTCCCTCAAGATAGGGTCTGAAATGCTGAGTGCTCCAAACGATGGCTAAACACTCGCGTTCGGCAGCAGAAATCCTGGATCAAGAATGAATGAACCACCGAGTACAATTTTAATATTCAATGAGCCATACCAGTTTGCAAGGCAGTTGTAAATAATTTCATTATTGAATAGTTCTTGGTCGTCTTTTAGAATTTGTTGATACACAGTGTCGATTCCCTCTTGGTCTTGAATAATTTTTTTAGCTGATAGATTGAAATATCGACAATAAGATCAAGCTTGAATGTCTTGTGTGTAGGAAGTATGATGCACACTTGTCGATTAGCTGGCTCAGATACTTTTATTTCAATTATTTGACCAGCCTCTATCCCATACGAAGAACATGTAGGTTCTTTTTCAGCAAGCAGATAATGCATAATTGCAGAAAAGGCGCTGATGCGATAAGGAAGTATGGCTGATTCATTTGCAATGTAATTGACTGCTTCCTTCACCGTGGTTGATGGCAATAGTGAACTTTGATGACATTCATCGGAAGACGCAGGTAATTTCCAGAACAAAGTATGACTAGTTATTGAAAGCTTCATGATATCTCCGTTGGCTATTCATCTTCTGTAGAAGATAGAGTAATTCGTTAGCATCAGGTCCTGAGCTTTAATAGCATAGCCAAAATTTTGTTCAATTGCCTTCTTCAAATTTAAATCTGTTAATGGTGCATTTAGTAAGCAGACACTCCGATTGCTCGTTGGAAGGTCGACAGCAATAATCAGAATATTCCTTCTATTATCGATCACGTATCCCTCTTCAGTTGGCCGCGGATTGGGAAATTTTTTTCGATCATTATCTTGGAATTCGTTGTACATAAACAATACTTGGCTTTTCATCGGGATATTGATCTGTTTCTGAATAAGACGTTTAATGTTCAACATCTAATGTGTTTTCTTTTTGAGTATTATAATCGTTAGGTATTCGTCCATCTTCCAATGGTTTGCCAGCAAAACTCATTGACTGCTTATCGAGTGGAATTCCTGCTATCACTTGAATTGTGGCTTTCACATCTTCGATGCTGTCGCTCGGTTCCACAGCCAGTGTCATTATTTTCCCAATGAAAGTTCTGACAGAGATTTGCATACTTCCATGTAAGCCCAGAAAATGTTGTAGTGTACTGCTGCATTTAACACTATAACGACGGAGTAAATCTCTGTCTTTCATGCATTTGCTATCAAAAGTTAGTATTTGATGATTCACCGGAATTCCTGCTCTTTCTTGAATTATTGCTTTTATTTCTTTAACGGAAGATTCTGAGGACACTGTTAATTTGATCGTTTTATCCGTCAGTATTCTCACATCAATATCCATGTAGCCAGGTCCTCCTCCTCGTAGACGCAGGACAAGTTGAAGACTGCTCTCATCTTGGATGTTGTAATCACTAAGTGTGTTCGTCCATCTTCTAACCCTTTTGCATGAAAAAACAGTCGCTGTTGATCCTGTGGTATCCCTTGGTTGTCTTGAATTTTAGCTTTCACATTTTCGATGGCGTCGCTCGGACTTACTGCCAGTATTATTTTTGGTCCAGTCAAAGTATTAACGAAGAGTTGCATTTCATCGCTAAGTTGTACTTTCGAGCAGCTTGGTATACCATAATCGTTCAAAGTTCGATCGTCTTTCAGCTTTTGACCTTCGAAAACTAATATCTGATAATGTATTCCTATTTTTTCTTTAAGTTTAAGCTTGACATTCTTAATAAGCTCATCCTCTATAACTTTTAATAGTAGTTTTTTTTCGTTATGAAGTACACATAATAAAATTGTTTTGTCGGCAAATGAGACAACACATGGATAGATTTTGAGAGCATCGATGGTGACCGCTGGTGCTGAAGTCTTCAATTATGTAACATTAAGCAGTGATGAAAAAGCCGCTGTAATCAAGGTATCATCTGACGTCATGGATACTTCTAAAGATATTCGGAAACCATTTTGATCAATGACAACAAACTGAATCTAGAATTCCATGATTAACAAATAGATAGGAAACAATAAGAAGTAGAAAGTTTTAGTTCACTATCAGCAATTCAATTAACGAGAGACAAGCAACTGCAATGTGAATCTATTGCGTCGCTGACCTTCAGCATCAACAAATGACTCTATAAATAAAACGTTGAACATTGCAGACATTTTGGGAAAATTGGTTAATGGCAGCTGCAATATCTGTTCGTGAGATTCTTTAACGTTCAAGAGATCTTTATACATTATAATTTGCAAATATTTCCAGAGTAAGTAAACCTATATGTTAGCGTCCATATTCGGATCCGTCCAATCTGAGATTCGCCTGGGCCAATCTCGGATTGTACGTACAATTTTCAAGCGACTCTTAGGTTGACCTCCCAAGCGCGAAAAAAAAACATGGAACGTGCGTCGGAACCCCGTTCAAAATTTCGAACTCCGTTCCGAGCCCGTTCAAAACTGATATAATTTTTCAACTGCGTCCGTTCCACACCCGTTCACAAATT